GTGAAATGAGGATGTTTTTGGAGCCATCAACCTATAATATGACAGTGAATTATCAATAACTGAATAGAATATATTAACATGACACAAATTTACTTAACTTAATGGATATACAACAATTAACAAAAACTATGTTCAAATGTAACATGAACAGTAACACCAAATTTGTTGATATAAACACAGTAACAACATCTTAATAATATGATCATAGTAACATTAATTTCATAACTGAATCCCAGCGAGAAGGAAAATAGTTGAATTGAAGATTGCACAATGAAGATTGCAAGCATTTCAAACAGTAATACACAAGTAACATCAATTTTAGCTTTTACACTAGCAAATGCAAAGCTTGAGAGATATATGATGTAACATATACCTTTAATTCTCAAAGAAAAATCAAAGGATTCTGATTACTAACACATTCACAATAAACATCAATTCACAGTAACAAACAACAACCCATGAACTCTTTGGATATATCAAATCAGTAACATATATTGTGTAACATCAAGGTTATGATCAGTAACAAATATTTTGTAACATTAATTTTTCAGTAACATACAAAGTACCTCAAGCACATCCATACATTGGATATATGAAATTAATTTTTCAGTTATCACATCGTAACATGGACAATTTTATGTAACTTTGAACCAATGGGTTTCGGATGTCTTGAACAAAGTAGAAAGCAACCAAAAAATTTCACATGTAACAATACCCCACCCACAAATGTCATATAGTGTTTATAGTAACATCGAATTTCATAGTATTATAGTAAAAAAAATCAATTCAAAAATTAAAATTTAAAAAAAAAAAAAAAACCTAATAGCAACACACTTTCAATTGTTGAATTAAGACACTCAACACAAAACAACAACATCAAAATACCAACATTATTACAAACATTTCTAAAAGTACTCTCACAATAACATGAGATATTCCACACAAAATAGCAACAATAAATTTCGTATGTTCTACAAATCCAAAAATAAAAACAAAACCAAAATACTTATCAAGGAATCACAATTTATTAACAAAGAATCAAAATTTTATTGAAAAAAAAAATTTATTTGACAAGTTGAACCATATACATTATAAATGTTGTTGTCAAACCCTAAAATATACATCAAATAACATGTAAAATCACATACCTTTCAGATTTTTAAGCCTCGCAATGTTGGTGAAGATGTTTTGAATGCCGAAAAATCTCCCTTATGTAACTTCTTCAATGGAACTTGAAGAGTAAAACCATTTTTGAACAGTTTTCTCTTTGAATTTTGAATTAAGTCGGTTTGGGTAATGACAGTTTTTAATTTTCAAAGAAAGGAACACAAAGAGATTTGAGGATCTTTTGTCGGAATTGTAGGATAGAATGAAGATAGGAAGTTTCAGTTTTTTGAGTGTCGGCAATTGAGGGTTTCACCGTCACCTTAGAAAGGGCTTTTGAGACGCCGTTTGATGTTTGGGAAAAAATAAGGGTAGAATAGTAAACTTAATACAAAGTGGACTTATAACCAAATTAGTTTTCTTGCAGGATTTATCTCCAAACAAGTCCATTTGGGGGAATTGACCTCCAATTTTTCCTACATTTTTTTGAGGCATCATAAGCTTCTTTATCGAATCATCCTCTAAACCTGTCATCTCCACTTTTAGTTCATCCCAAACTCCCACCTCCCAATCACCCGTGTGGCACCAAGCACCCACAACCCAAACCACCACCACCACGTAAACCCAACTCAAATCCTTCCCACAACCTCTAAGATGAAACCACTCCTTCCTACCCTCATGTGTGTGTATGTGTGTGCGTACTTTGATTATAGGATTTTTTGGAAGTCGATACACTAAATTAGACATAATTGTAAAAAAATACACAGAAAAAAATATTTTGCAAAAACGTACACTACTAAAATACAAAGACGTAAATGCCCATTTTGTAAAATTCTCTTTCCTAAAAACTGTAACAATGCATTTATCTTTAACCGCTAAAATTTAGGTACATTTATTTCAAAATCTCTTCATCTTTGGTTATCGTTCTCTATACTCTTTCTTCCTCACAAAAAATTGGTTCATCTTCTTCGAAGAAACTTCCCAATTCTCTGTCTTTCATAAACAAGGATAAGGTTTCGACTGTAAAATGTACACCGATTGAGAGGACTTGGGGTTTGATCGGCACAAACTCAAGAATGGTAAAAATCTTGTTTGCGATTGAAGAGATTTTGAACTTTGGCATTTTGTAAACTTGAAACAGCNTCCTCACAAAAAATTGGTTCATCTTCTTCGAAGAAACTTCCCAATTCTCTGTCTTTCGTAAACAAGGATAAGATTTCGACTGTAAAATGTACACCGATTGAGAGGACTTGGGGTTTGATCGGCACAAACTCAAGAATGGTGAAAATCTTGTTTGCGATTGAAGAGATTTTGAACTTTGGCATTTTGTAAACTTGAAACAGCCTTGATTGTTGCTCGTTGGCCTGCGTTTAATAAGGTGATAATTGAACTTCGACATTCCATGTACTTTTTTTTATTTATTGACATCATGGGTTAACCAAAATCAAAATGTTATTACATTTATTTTGATTTTGGTATTTTTATTTTGGCTGAAAGTTCTTATTCCCTGAACATATATGGGGTTTTGTTTTGAAGAAAAAATTCTACTGTTTAGCCCATTTGATGTAAGATTGTCAACAACATTTATTTTTTGAAGATTTGTTCATCATTTAAAGATACGTACAAACTTTGACATTTGAAAATCAGAACCAGTTGTTGAAAGTTGATTGTTAGCCTGTGTGAAATATGATGTTTCTGCCATATTAATTCATTGTGTGTGAATAAACTGTGTGTATCTCCTAACAACTGACTGTGTTTTTCTCATAGTGTAACAAAAACAGTGTAATAATACACTGTAATAAAGACAGTATTTAGTGATTTTGTGGATGTGATAACAAATTCAAAACAAAGGTGGACTGTTTGAATGAAATTATATGCAAATATATGTTTGACAAAATGTAATAGTATAATATTTTGTGTAAATATCTTGTTACATTGTTATGATATTCTCATATTAAAAAATAGAATAATCACCTTTAAAATGACAANATGATGTTTCTGCCATATTAATTCATTGTGTGTGAATAAACTGTGTGTATCTCCTAACAACTGACTGTGTTTTTCTCATATTGTAACAAAAACAGTGTAATAATACACTGTAATAAAGACAGTATTTAGTGATTTTGTGGATGTGATAACAAATTCAAAACAAATGTGGACTGTTTGAATGAAATTATATGCAAATATATGTTTGACAAAATATAATAGTACAATATTTTGTGTAAATATCTTGTTACACTGTTATGATATTCTCATATTAAAAAATAGAATAATCACCTTTAAAATGACAGACATAAATCTAATGAAGTCATGAATTCAAACCTTGTAATTGCTTAGATTGAATGATAACAATAAAATAATATTTTTAGACTTGCACTAATAAATGGCTTCCAAGACGAAGAAGAAAAGGAAGATAATAAAAGATACTATAACAAAATTTAAAAAACTGATTTATCCTCACAATAAACAAAAGAATCAAAGAATCAAATCTTCCATTAAATTAAAAGATTTTTCATGCATACATTTATCTTAAAAAAACGGAAAGATCAAGTTTTCCATTAAATAAAGAGATTTTTAATGCAAACATATAATCTAAAAAAAAAATCAGTTTCCAAAAATAAATTACATTAATTAAGGGAAGAAAAATTTAAAAAATTTAAATTATGTACTTNAATATTTTTAGACTTGCACTAATAAATGGCTTCCAAGACGAAGAAGAAAAGGAAGATAATAAAAGATACTATAACAAAATTTAAAAAACTGATTTATCCTCACAATAAACAAAAGAATCAAAGAATCAAATCTTCCATTAAATTAAAAGATTTTTCATGCATACATTTATCTTAAAAAAACGGAAAGATCAAGTTTTCCATTAAATAAAGAGATTTTTAATGCAAACATATAATCTAAAAAACAAATCAGTTTCCAAAAATAAATTACATTAATTAAGGGAAGAAAAATTTAAAAAATTTAAATTATGTACTGGGACACAAATAAGAACTAAAATTAATGATTTTTTTTCCCCTATATTTTTTCTGTATACTTTTTTACAATTAACTCCACAAAGACAAGGTTTCAAATTTTGAAATTCAAATATCCTAAAACTAGGAGATATTTAATACATAAATAAATGGAATATTAAAGTAATCTCATAAAATTAGGAGATGTTTAATGCATAAATATAATTTAAAAACAAAATCATTTTAAAAAAATATGCATGGATCAAGGGAGAACAAAAATGTCACAAGAAAATCTGAAAATTTCAAATAATATACTTGGACACAAATAAATATCAAAATTAAGAACTTATTTACTCTATATTTTTTTTTTGTATATTTGTTTATAATTAACTCTAATTTGATGTACTCCTTTCAATTTACCCTTGATTATATGCATGTAATAGGGTTCTAAATGAANTAATACATAAATAAATGGAATATTAAAGTAATCTCATAAAATTAGGAGATGTTTAATGCATAAATATAATTTAAAAACAAAATCATTTTAAAAAAATATGCATGGATCAAGGGAGAACAAAAATGTCACAAGAAAATCTGAAAATTTCAAATAATGTACTTGGACACAAATAAATATCAAAATTAAGAACTTATTCACTCTATATTTTTTTTTTGTATATTTGTTTATAATTAACTCTAATTTGATGTACTTCTTTCAATTTACCCTTGATTATATGCATGTAATAGGGTTCTAAATGAACCCAATGCCCAATGTTTTCTACAATATTAGGCCCACTGGCCCAAGTCACTTGACAATGTGTCCATTCCGTCCTAAATCCAAAAAAAACCCTAACCATCTGAAACTCCTGGTAATACTTGTTCCCTCCCTTATATTTGTCACACACACACACACACACAGAGCTTTCTAGAGAGAGAGTGATGGTGTGGTTTCAGTGCGAGGACTGCGGAGACAACCTGAAGAAGCCGAAGCTGCCCAGTCACTTCAGGATTTGCTCTGCAACCAAGGTCAAACTCTATTCTTTTCAAAAAAATTTGAGACGATTGTTTCGTCAAATTTCGATTATAATAGACTGGTCTTGTCCAATTTTTTTCATTGTTTTGACTGTTTTTCTTTCACAGTTATCGTGCATTGATTGCGGACAAGTATTTGGGCAGCAAAATGTCGATGGGCACACTCAATGCATCACAGAAGCGGTATCNACACACACACACACACACAGAGCTTTCTAGAGAGAGAGTGATGGTGTGGTTTCAGTGCGAGGACTGCGGAGACAACCTGAAGAAGCCGAAGCTGCCCAGTCACTTCAGGATTTGCTCTGCAACCAAGGTCAAACTCTATTCTTTTCAAAAAATTTTGAGACGATTGTTTCGTCAAATTTCGATTATAATAGACTGGTCTTGTCCAATTTTTTTCATTGTTTTGACTGTTTTTCTTTCACAGTTATCGTGCATTGATTGCGGACAAGTATTTGGGCAGCAAAATGTCGATGGGCACACTCAATGCATCACAGAAGCGGTATCTTTCCCTCAATTTTTTCTTCTTATTTTTCTCTGAATTTTGAGATGTCGAATGCGTGATTGTCCATTTAGCCTAAAAGGGGAAAAAACAGAGTCTTTCTTTTGAGGTTTGAATCTATGATCATGCTCAGGAAATAAAACTATTTATGTGCTTGAATTCTTCCAAATCTAATGTGAGCCGAAGTGTATTTGTTGATTTTTAATTTTCAGGAAAAGTATGGTCCAAAAGGCCAAGGAAAAGCTTCTAATGGAACAGCAGCGAAGCCCAATAATGATTTGAAGCAGAAACCTGATGTTGATATAAATGTGGGATTATCTGAACGTCCTCCATGGTTTTGTAGGTATGTTCAAACTGTAGAAATGAGGCTTTCTTCGATGGATATATGTAGAGGTTTAATTTACTGGTTTACTTGACTACCTGCATTCTATGGTATTGAACATTGAGCTTCATTCAACTGCAAATATGACAGGAAACATTAATGTATATATTTTTCAAATAACTCATAGCTCATAACACTTTGTGCCTTTTTCCCCCATAATAGAATATGAAAGTCTACTTTTGTCTAGGGGCTCTTAATTGTAGTATTTACTGCACCTCTGGTTAATGCTAGACTTTAAGCTTATACAGATAGAGTGAGCATGTTATATTCTAGTGGGCTCTTGCCCATGAACTTACAAAGTCCATCATTTTAAGTACAGATTTGGCTGATAGTAACGATAGACATGAAGTTTGACTCACTGAATTTTAGTGCGTCCACTTGAAATTTAGCCATGCTTGCATCTTTTTATGGTAGGATTAGCACGGTTGCCCCTGATGGAAAAGTTAGGTTAGATAGTACCTAAAATTTGACATTATTTTTACAAGAGGCCTCCCTTGGGCTTACATTCACAGTTTCGAGCACCAAGCAATGGGCTTCTGCATGTAGAATTAGTTAGTCTTTTGAGTAATATTTTAGGGCATCTAGGTTCCTTTTTCTTTTCGTCTATTGTTACTAGNTTACAAGAGGCCTCCCTTGGGCTTACATTCACAGTTTCGAGCACCAAGCAATGGGCTACTGCATGTAGAATTAGTTAGTCTTTTGAGTAATATTTTAGGGCATCTAGGTTCCTTTTTCTTTTCGTCTATTGTTACTAGTGTCTAAGTTTGGTTATTGGTCAATCCCTGTATTTCCAGTCTTTGTAATACCAAAGCTACTAGTAAGCAAGCATTGCTTCTCCATGCTGAAGGAAAGAAGCACAGGGCAAAAGCACGGGCATTCCATGCAACTAAGCAACAACCTAAGCAAACTGAAGATTCCCCTCCAAACACCAAAGTTTCAACTGAAATTATTAAAAAGGATAAACTGCCTTCTAGTGAAGGCATAGACAAACCAAATGAGCATCATCCTTCTAGAGTTGCCTGTGCACGTGACAGCTCTAAGGCAGAAAATGGGAGTGTGCCTTCAAGTAAGAAGAGAAAAGTTGAAGCATCTGATGCTGAAGGTGCTAGGCAAAAGGCTGGAGGTTATGCAGCTGGTCAATTGGACGAAGTGATTCAGGTTGAAAGAGTAGAAACAGAGGAAGTCAAGTTCCAGGTCAAGAAAACCAAACACAGTGTAGCCAAAGAAGAGAAGGTAGTGGATTCTAGCTCTCCCAGGGAAGGAGATGATGGCAAGGAAAAAATTAAGTGGAAGAAGCTGATCTCTTCAGTCCTGACATCTGTATGTTTCCTTGGGCTATAGCACTGAATCCCATTTTGATTTATCGTAAGCAAAAATGTCATGATCATATTGATGCCATGAAAAATATTGCTTGTTTGTTTAAAATCTGATAGATAATTTTGATGGCTTGAAAAAATGGCCTACTACTATTTTTTCTCAAGGGACTAATATAAACTAGCCTTTCCTTTTATAATAAGATAGCATCAGAACATTACATTGTTTCCCAGTGTTATTTGTATACGCCTAATTGTAATATAACTTATTCAATTTGTGGGTCAGAGATCAGGTGGTGTTCTAAAGTTGAAGAAACTGAGAAAACTTGTTCTGAATACTCTCAGAGAATCTGGCTACACAGAAGATGAAAACCAACTCACCAATATGCTTGAGCACAAGGTGAACCAATTCTAAGAACTGATTCCTTTTTTGGCCTTCTCGCAAGAGTAACAAGAACCATTATGATCTCTTTATGGTTTGTTTATGCAGATTCATTCAAGTTCCCGATTCACTTTTGATGGCAATTTTGTCCATCTGGTTTCCAAAAGTTGAGGTGGGGTTTTATGACAATCGAGAGTGGCATATCGTAAAGATTTGACACATACCGGAGTTGTTTTTCCCCCTTATAACAACTACCTGAGCATATATCTATATGATCTAATCTGAATGATACTGTTGATCTCCGGAAGCTGTCACAAGTTGAGTCAGTGATTTTTTTGGCTTCTCTCCTGTGTTACCCATCTCTGGTAGTTTTTGGCAGCACCATTGAGTCTCATTTTTTTTATGCTCATTTATCTCGAGGACTTGACTTTTAAATGTGTTGATTTTGTAACAGACTATATATATATATATATTAGTTATTGACTGTGCCTAAAAGTACAGAGTAATAAAAAAAATTGTGAACAATAAATATATTTGTATTCACATTTAAAATTAAATTACAAATATGGAGGAGAAAGAAAAGAATTTAAGTACCGGTTATAGTGGGAGTAAGTGATGGCAGTGGTGGTGGGTGGTAATGGTGGTGGTGGGGTGGCGATGACAATGGTGGTGATAGTGGTAAGGGTCGTGAATAGTGGTGGTGAGGTGATAAGGGGTAGTGGCGGTAGGAGTGATGGTTGGACAGTAACGATGGTGCTGGGGTAGAGGTGATAGTGGTGGTCGGGAGGTAGGGGGTGGTGGTGGGGTGGCAGCAGTAATAATGGCGACGGTGGTGAAAGTAGAGGCAATGGTAGTTGTTGTGGGGGAGGTGATGATGACGGTGATGGTGGGATGGAGGTGGTGAGAGAGTGGTGATGGTGATGATAGTAAAGGGGTGGTATGGTAACGACAACGATGGTGGTGGTAAGAGGTGGGCTAGTGGTGGTAGTGGTGAGGCAGTGGGTGGAGTGGGGTGAGGGTGATGGTGACATTGGTAGTGGTGGTAGGGTGGCAACGACGGGGTGTTAGTGGTAGTGGTAATGATAGTGGGGGATAATTTGGTGGTGGGGTGGCGGTGGTGGTGGTAATGGTAATAGTGGTGGGGCGATGGGTGTGATGGTAGTAGTGGTGATGGTAGGGTGGTCTTAAACACTATTTTTTTTTAAGTATTTATGAGNAAAAATTGTGAACAATAAATATATTTGTATTCACATTTAAAATTAAATTACAAATATGGAGGAGAAAGAAAAGAATTTAAGTACCGGTTATAGTGGGAGTAAGTGATGGCAGTGGTGGTGGGTGGTAATGGTGGTGGTGGGGTGGCGATGACAATGGTGGTGATAGTGGTAAGGGTCGTGAATAGTGGTGGTGAGGTGATAAGGGGTNCATTTATCTCGAGGACTTGACTTTTAAATGTGTTGATTTTGTAACAGACTATATATATATATATATTAGTTATTGACTGTGCCTAAAAGTACAGAGTAATAAAAAAAATTGTGAACAATAAATATATTTGTATTCACATTTAAAATTAAATTACAAATATAGAGGAGAAAGAAAAGAATTTAAGTACCGGTTATAGTGGGAGTAAGTGATGGCAGTGGTGGTGGGTGATAATGGTGGTGGTGGGGTGGCGACGACAATGGTGGTGATAGTGGTAAGGGTTGTGAATAGTGGTGGTGAGGTGATAAGGGGTAGTGGCGGTAGGAGTGATGGTTGGACAGTAACGATGGTGCTGGGGTAGAGGTGATAGTGGTGGTCGGGAGGTAGGGGGTGGTGGTGGGGTGGCAGCAGTAATAATGGCGACGGTGGTGAAAGTAGAGGCAATGGTAGTTGTTGTGGGGGAGGTGATGATGACGGTGATGGTGGGATGGAGGTGGTGAGAGAGTGGTGATGGTGATGATAGTAAAGGGGTGGTATGGTAACGACAACGATGGTGGTGGTAAGAGGTGGGCTAGTGGTGGTAGTGGTGAGGCAGTGGGTGGAGTGGGGTGAGGGTGATGGTGACATTGGTAGTGGTGGTAGGGTGGCAACGACGGGGTGTTAGTGGTAGTGGTAATGATAGTGGGGGATAATTTGGTGGTGGGGTGGCGGTGGTGGTGGTAATGGTAATAGTGGTGGGGCGATGGGTGTGATGGTAGTAGTGGTGATGGTAGGGTGGTCTTAAACACTATTTTTTTTTAAGTATTTATGAGAAATTATAAGTATTAAAAGGATTTTTAAAAAATCACTTTAAACACACTCTTAAGGGTTTATTTTTCTTATTAAATTTGGAGTGTTAATATTAGCCGTCAGATTAATTTTAAAGTAAAATTTAAAGAGATTTTAATTAATAATAGCAAAAGTCATTTTGTTTATTTTTTTAGATTTGAATTGNGTGATGGTAGGGTGGTCTTAAACACTATTTTTTTTTAAGTATTTATGAGAAATTATAAGTATTAAAAGGATTTTTAAAAAATCACTTTAAACACACTCTTAAGGGTTTATTTTTCTTATTAAATTTGGAGTGTTAATATTAGTCGTCAGATTAATTTTAAAGTAAAATTTAAAGAGATTTTAATTACGAATAGCAAAAGTCATTTTGTTTATTTTTTTAGATTTGAATTGCATTGTACTTTATTATATAGATATATTAGTTATTTTTTGTGCCTGAAGGAACGGAGTAATAAAAAAAATGGTCAACAATAAATATATTTGTACTCACACTCAAAATCAAATTACAAAGATAGAGGAAAGAGAAAGAAATTTAAGCATCGTTTGTAGTAACGACGAGTGGTGGTGGTGGAAGACGATGATGGTTGTAATGGATGATGTTGACCGGCTGTGATGGTGGCAGACGTGGGTGGTAATGGTAATGGTGGTCGTGAGGATGGTGATAGTGGTTGTTGTGGAAGAAATGTTGGTGGAATGGCAACGGTGGTGGTGGTAAGGTGGCGATAGCGGTGATGATGGTGGTGGTAGGGCAATAAGGGTGGTGGTGATAATGATGGCGACAGTGGTGGTCGTGGTAGGAATGGTGGTAGTTAGGATGGTGGTGGTAGGGTGACGACAATGATGGTGGCGATGATAATGGTTGTTGCAGAAGATATGATGATAGGGTGGCAGCGGTGGTGGTGGGGCTGTAAAGATGGTGGTGGTGGTAGGGTGATGGTAACGATGGTGATGGTGGGGTGACAGCAGCAGTGGTGGTTGTTGTGGCAGAGGTAGTGGTGTAATGGTGACAACAATAGTGGTGGTGGTGGGGGGTGGCGGTGGTGGTGGTAGTGGTGATAGTGTAGTTTCAAACACTATTTTTTTTAAAAAAAAATTATGAAAAATTATAAGTTTTAGAAGAACTTTTAAAAAGTTATTTCAAATGCTAAATTTGGGAAATAATTTAAAGTATTTATGAGAAATAATTCTTAAAAACACTTCTAAAAAGTTATTCAAAACACATCTTTAGAAGTCTATTTTTTTATTAAATTTAGAATTTTAATATTATTCGTCAGATTAATTTTAAAATAAAATTTAAAGAAATTTTAATCGCGAATAGTAAAAATTATTTTATTTATTTTTTTAAGATTTAAATTGTATTATATTTTATTATATAGATATATACACTCGAGTTAAATGGGGATGAAAACTATTGAGTTATTNCTTAGAAGAACTTTTAAAAAGTTATTTCAAATGCTAAATTTGGGAAATAATTTAAAGTATTTATGAGAAATAATTCTTAAAAACACTTCTAAAAAGTTATTCAAAACACATCCTTAGAAGTCTATTTTTTTTATTAAATTTAGAATTTTAATATTATTCGTCAGATTAATTTTAAAATAAAATTTAAAGAAATTTTAACCGCGAATAGTAAAAATTATTTTATTTATCTTTTTAAGATTTAAATTGTATTGTATTTTATTATATAGATATATACACTCGAGTTAAATGGGGATGAAAACTAGAGTTATTTTTATGGGTTGAGATATAAGTTTTTATGTTTGCTTAGGACAAAAAAATGTACGACTTTAGTGTCGTATTATAATTTATATGGTTCAAGTTGTAAATTTTGTAAGTTATTTATAATTTTCTAGGTTATGTGCAATCGATCACAAAAATTTTAAGATCGATTGTAAGTAATTCTCAAAAGTTGTAAATAATTCATAAAAATTATACCTTAAATCATAAAAAATATAAATGATCATTAAAACTTGTAAATGATTTGTCAGAAATTATAAAAAAAAATCCTCAAATTTCATTAAAANATCACAAAAATTTTAAGATCGATTGTAAGTAATTCTCAAAAGTTGTAAATAATTCATAAAAATTATACCTTAAATCATAAAAAATATAAATGATCATTAAAACTTGTAAATGATTTGTCAGAAATTATAAAAAAAAAAACCCGCATTACGATATTAAAAAAAAACTTTTTCGTAAACTTCTCCCGAACGCAAAGGGGTGACTGTTTGTCCAAGAAAGAAATCGTTTGGCATGACCGTATGAAGCACCTATAATCATTGTTGATGGTGATTGAAAAGCTCAATACCACCACCCATTTTCTATGGACTTTCGATCACTTGGATAGTCAATTCCATTACCTACCCTTCCATGGTCACTGCTGATCTCCTGGAATATTCAAAAGATTAGACGTGAAGGCAAATCTAGTTTGGACCTAACCTTTTTCTTTTATTTCCTTGTCTTTAATCAACAGAATACCATACCTAATCCTGCTATTAGTCTTCTATATTAATAAGCAAAGAACTTTTGGGTGAGTAATAGAAACAGTAGTTGCTTATAAATGTTAATTTTTTTTCCTGGGAATTTCCTTACTGCCTGTGCCCCATAAAATGAAGCATCACACTTTATTGTTACATAAAGAGAACCTGGGCTGTGTACAATTTCAGAATCAAATGTTTTAACTTCAAAGTGATTCACAGACAACAGTCTGTCTTTTTTTTTTTTTTTTTTTTATATTTTGCTTCCTTTAAATGTATATCTTGGAATGGCAGACTCTTTGAGATGATCCTTTCTCCTAGATCCTGCCACGAGAATTCATATCTACACGCGAATACGCTTTTCTCTTCAGAGCTTCACATACAGAATTAGCATGACAACACTAGAGTAGAAGAATTGCTGCAATAATCAACGCCACAACTGAACAGGCCATCGCCTGTCACAAACCCGCAGTGTTAAAAAGATAAATGCCAATGTAAGCGTGTTGATATGTTTTTCTAACACAACTTGGAGAAAAAGTTATGGCCATCATATCTACATCAAAATATATAAAATGCCAAAAATGAACGAACATACACTCCAGTTGTTTCCTATAATTAGTCTTGCTAAATTCAAAGACAATGAGTTTGTGTGTATGTTCTGTGGAGAGAGAGAGAGACAGAAGCTTACCGCAATTGCAGAAGCAGCAAGGCCAGCTCGCTCCCTTGGATCTTTCCGGTAGTAATTTCCAAAATAGAGAATTGTGGCATAGTACCACAACAGCGGGCACACAAATCCCAACAGAAACCTGACACCAAGACATGTATCAGAGAGATATAGCGGCACAAGAGATGGGAAGGAAGCAGGAATGGAGGATACTTACGAGAACCATCCTATTCCACACCCAAAACAAGGAAGGGGTTTGTCGTATATTCCCCCTTGGAATTCCTCTGCATCCCTGATAAGAGTATACTTGCCTTTTTCATGGTCCCCTGTATCTGTTGCTTGCCCTGCAATCACCAAAATGTCTCTTATTGTCTGAGTAAAGGAACCATTATAATGAAAACATATTAATCAGACCAAAAAAATAACATGATCTTTGAAATCAGAGTTAAGAAACAGTAAAATTAAAAAAAAAAAATTGGGAATTAACAGTATTGCGACCACCACCAATTAGGGTCTAACTAAAACCTCGAAAGTTAAGATGGAATTTGTTTTAAATGCAAATAAATACTATGANGGGAATTAACAGTATTGCGACCACCACCAATTAGGGTCTAACTAAAACCTCGAAAGTGAAGATGGAATTTGTTTTAAATGCAAATAAATATTATGGCAATGACAATCTTTTTATTTTTCGAAGTATAAAAACCATTTAAAATTAATGACAAGCATTAAAGATAGCCAAAATCAAAGCAATTGGAAGAGATAAGTTCAACAGTACAAGAAACAAGGTGATTCAGTGATCGTAGAAAGAAGGATCATCAAGTCCATCTAGATTTGTATCCCAGAAGCTGAAATCCACACAAATTATACTATGGACATTAAACTCCCTCGGGTTCCTAGTTGAGATATCTAAAACAATAGGATGATGACATTACACTGGTGAGCAATAAACAACGACAAACCAAGGAATTTCCTTATGGGGGCCAAAGTATGTGCTTAGAAATGGCAAAGAAAAATGCTGCACTAATTAAAATTTGTAGATCAACACATATCATATATATTCTTCAATACTAAAATTCATTAGAAAAACAAATATTAACCTTAGTGTTCAATGGATACAAATACATCGATTCCCATACCAAAAGAAAGAAGTAAAGATCTCTTCCCCTAGTGTAACTTAGCTATTTGACTAAAGTATCAATGATGCCCCAGCCAAATGTACCACACAGATAAAGTTCAACAAAAACAAAAAGATCAAAGCTAGTGTGTTAATCAGATACATATTGTTTGACTGTTAAAAAAAACCAAAACCAAAAAAAAACTGACAACCCACCTCCCACCCAAGTCTTTGTCTGTGGCAACAAATCAATTTAGAATGTGGCCATTTCACTTTGATCGGTGAATATGACCTTCCCTTATGGACTCATAAGCTAATACTCAATACAAATGAAACAAGAAGAAAATCATTTAGGCATGTATGGCACAATTATCCAATATCCAAAGCACGACAGGACATAACAGCCAAACAAGATGTCTACCTTTAAACATTGAAAGATATCGGACTGACGGCCTCAAATCAAAATGCTTGGCAGAAACTGATTTCACCAACTCAAGGCTACTTCTCAAACCACGTCCCTCCTCAATAGTAGGATCTGTGACACCAAAGAAGTCCCAATTTACAAGAGAATCTATGATGGAGAATCAAATACGCATGTAACTAACTACACAGTGTGTTTATGATGTAGGACAACTTTGTAACTTTGACTATGAATCACTCCTAGGGTTCCTTAGGCATTACAAGAATTACATCACACAACTCAAGAAACATGAAATTGCTTAAATTTCTGAATATCTTTCTCTCTATCTCCCTTTTATTAAAAGTGACACTAACTATAAATAGAGTTCTAAGTAATCCTAATCCCATATGATTAGGATTCCAAAGTCTCTAAAACTTCAAAAACTCTAGGTCCCTAAAACTTATAAAACTAAAATTAACTAGAACTAAGACTTTAAATTCTAGAATATTCAACACTAGAATTTGACCAAAAAATATGGCCTGATTCAAAATTTTAAGAAATTACAAAAATACCCCCGACACCAAAAAATATTAAAAGGACATATAAAATATTAATACTAATAAATTGACTTAAAATAAGACTCAAAATACAATAATGCAAAGTTTCATATCTTTCTTTGTCTTGATAGAAAGTCAATTCCATTATTTTTCATATCTTCAAATTTGTATTTCCTTGAGCATTTTATGGATTGCATCATTCTCCCCTGGTTGGAGAAAACTCAACCTCAAATTTTAAGTGTTGTAGAATGAAAGTCCAAAAACTTTGAAGTTGTATATGTAGCTGTCTCTGAGAAGCTTTAAAGTATTGCAAAATGAAAGTCCAAAAACTTTGAAGTTGTATATGTAGATGTCTCTGAGAAACTTTAATGTGATGACTCATTTTCTTCTTTGATTAAGGGAACAAAAAAAATATTTAAAAATTGATCCACTTGATTGTGTCGTTGAAATTTTCTGGAATGATAACATCAATTGGTGGAGCAAAGTGGATAAAAAGAAGCATTGGTGACACTTCATGTAGATCCTTGAAAGATGCAAACAAATCAAACTCTTGGAACATCATTGTGGCTAGTTGAAAGTCATTAATGGGAACAATTTCACCGGACAACACTTCTAGCACTATTTCAGAGCTCTTAGGTAATAACGTACTCATCTCTAAAGGCTCATTTGATTCAATACTAGTTGTTGAATTTTTCATCTTGTCAGGCTCCACAACAAAAAATATTGTTTGGATATTCACTTTTTACCTTAGCCTCTAGACAAGTGAATAATGTAATTACTTGGTATTGTGTTGATTCTTCTACTTGATTTCTTTCATCTTGAATTATTCGATCAGTTGTTGCTTTAGGCTGCTTTTGATAAATCTTCTCTAGTTGCACAGTAAAATCTAAATAATTTTGAGTTTTACCCCTTTGCGAAGAAGAAACCCTTGATGTACTTACTTAGTGAAAGAAATTTAGGTACATTTTCATACCAAGTGCCACTTGAAATTCATGCTTTATGTTGTATAGTGGCTATCCAAATATTTTTGCCTTTATATTTGCTCTTAAGCCAGCCTTAAATCAAGCAATTGTTCAGCAAGGTTCTTCTATGATATGATTTTTCAACATTATGCCTTCAAATCTTTAAATATACTCTGTGACGGATAGATTACCTTGTTGCAAATTAATAAGTTGTTGCACAACTTGCTACGATAGACGATAGTTTGAGGACATATACTTTTGTTGAAGCTTAACTTTCATCTCTTTCCATGTGTTGATTGACGACAATCTCAATCTTCTTAAATCTCCTTCAACAGTAAGCCACCAAATTTTTGCCAAGCCTACAAGTTTCATCTTGACAAACCTAACTCTCCTCGCATTTGAGAAATTATACCGAACAAAATAGTTCTCCATAGAAGTAAGTCAACTAAAGAATGTTATAGAATCATCCCTTTCATCAAAATCTTGGATCTTCATCCTCATATATCAATATTTAAGCTGCATAACATAGGATTTTTCAACTCTGATACCAAATTGATGTAGGACAATTTTGTAATTTTGATTAGGAATCACTCCTAGGGTTCTTTAGGCATCACATCCAGGGTTAGAATTGTATCACACAATTCAAGAAACATATAATTGTTGAAATTTCTGAATATTTTTCTCTCTATCTCTCTTTTATTAAAAGTGACACTAATTATATAGAATTCTAAGTAATCCTAATTCCAAAAGATTAGAATTTTAAAGTCTCTAGGACTTCAAAAACTCTAAATCCCTAAAAATAGAAAACTAAAATTAACTAGAACTAAAACTTTAAATTCTTGAATATTCAACACTAGAATTTGACCAAAAAATATGACCTGATTCAGAAATTCTTGAAATTACAAAAATACCCCTAACACCAAAAAATATTAAAAGGATATATATTAATACTAGTAAATTGACTTAATATAAGATTCAAAACACAATAATGTTCTATGTCTTTCTTTATCTTGATGGAAAGTCAATTCCATTATCTTTCACATCTTCGAATTTGTGTTTTCGTGAGCATCTTATGGATTGCATCAGTTTATGTACTCAACAAAATTATACCATTAGCTAGTCATTTTTGTAAATCTAGAAAGCAAACTATCACTACTGGACACTGAATAATTCTCATCATGAGATCCCAACTAAGTGTGCCTCAGCCACAACAAAGCTCAAATTATCAAATTTTTTAGTAGATGCAATAATATTTCACATGACTATATGACCAAGCATGAGTGACATTGTTCAAAAATAAGCAAAATGCAGCATAAAATCTTGTGTGGAACAGATTCTCTTCAAGTTTTGCAGTTGTTTCCACCAATGCCGGTGAATTATCATACTCCTAGGAGTGATATGGTTATTGGAAAAACTTGAGCTCAGCCTGAGAATTGAGTTGAGTATGCTTTAATGAGAAGAAATTGGAGATCCGAAAGCTGAAAACTTTCAAGTGCAATATAAAATTTTAACATGTTCCTCTTAGTTGTATCCTTCTGTTGGTTGGTTTTACAAAAGAAATGGCATCTTTATTAAGGTGTCCTAGTTGTCTATAGAATTCTGCTAGTTTATTTTGTCTGTTTTCATCTTTTACAGATCGGAATGGCTATAAAAAATTGTGAAAATTCAGCAAACATTTCTCCCTATAACAGTGTTCTGTGGCCACTCTATCGTTCATATTTATTATCCTAGAGACTAGCAGCATAAAAGGTCCAAGACTAGTTGATTCTACCACAACTGAAGAGTTGAGTATGATGATGAAGCAGAATAAGTAAATAGAACATTGCCAAATTTTGGTTGTAGTATGAGACTGGAACTAGTTAGGCAACATGGACCAAGTACAAAGATCAAAAAGATTACTCTGATCCATGTGTATCAGCCTGCAGCTCAAGGGTCAAGTGGTTGAGGTCCTCAGTTTTGCTGCCACCTCCAAGCTAACCTGTTTCACATAATTCAAAGAGCACTTAAATATACTATCATTATACAAGTTCTCTAGTTCAGATTTTACTTAGTTATGCTACCAACGGCTACTTATAAGAACAGAACATTCAAACGTTACAACTAACTTAGGACATTAGAATCTTACAACTAAATTATGGTGGGAACCTCGAGTGTCAACCAATTCTCTACTTACGTTACAGTAGTAGGTAAAACTATGCCGCAATTCTTTTGGCTGCAAATCAGCCAGCTAATGTGTACACAAGTAGTAGTCACCACAAGTTCCAGTAAGGTTATATCACCAATGGGTATACACCTACCAGAGCCGAGAGTATGTGCACCTATTTCTTGAACTTCACAGCTTCTTAAGACTGCCTTCCATTGAAGCAAGCACAGACATGGGTTTCTTGAATCCTCAGCCCACAAATTGAACAACTAAATGCTCTTGTATAATCCCTACTCGTCGATAAATTATACAAGAAAAATCCAATTTCCTTTACGCTTCATTATAAGGCATTAATAAATCTAATTACATTGGATCAATAACAAATTAAGATAACTAGGGCCATATAAAACTCACTAAACTGTCCTAATATTCTTTACCGTTCTGGATTTTCTTTGCCATATGGGTGTACTCCAATTTCTTGACATGTAACATAGAACAGCTGAACCAGATGAAGTGGAGAAAATGAAACTCAATTTCATGTATAAAGCCTAGAAGAAGATTGAACGTTACGGATTTTCTTTTCCATGTGGGTGTACTCGAATTTCTTGATATTTAACATATAACAGCTGAACTAGATGAAGTGGAGAAAAATGAAACTCAATTTCATCTATAAAGCCTATATTCAAAATTCCACAAAAATCGAAAAAGAAGAAGAAAAAGCCAACCTAATACTAATCCTATCAAAACTGAACATTTAGGGAAAAGAACCAAACCAAGAAAATTTGATTGTAATCTCTTTCTATCCCAGAAACAAAACCCTGAAATCTTTCAAATGAAATCGATAGTGCATATGTAAACATATATGCATACAAATACCCATGATTAAAACGAAACATAGAGTATGAAAACTTGCCTTTGAGGAGCAGAACTGAGAGGCGAAGCCCTGGAATGGAGACCCTTCAGATCAGAATCTAGAACAAACGAGCCAACCAGAGAGAAAGAGAGAGAGAGAGAGAGAGCCGATTAAGCTTAGGATTATCAGCAGTTTAAGTTGAGAAGAGCGTTGCTTGTCTAGTAATTAAATTCTGATAACAATAGACTGGCCCCTCCTTTCGTCCCCCCCCGCCCCCTCTCTCTCTCTCTCTCTCTCTCTCTCTCTCTCTCTTTATACTTAATAATTCATTATATTTATAATTATTTTTCTTTTTTAAAAAGGGATAAAATACATTTTAAGTCCTCCAAATATTTATTTAGTCTCTATTTAGTCCCTAATATTTAATTATATCTATTTAGTTCTTAAGGTACTTAATTTTTATCTATGAGGTCCAATCTCAAATCTCCATCAGAAAATTATGATGGTTTTAGTCACATACAAATCACGTGATCTTTAATCTTATATTTATTTAGTTCATAAAATTTTTAATTTGTGTTTATTCGATCGTTAAAGCTTCTAAGTTGTGTCTATTTGGTCTCGTGTGATTGGCGTGTGACTAGAGGTGTTAATGATTTTTTTAGAGACGTTTGAGATTAAACCACATAAATACAAATTAAAAGTTTTAGAGACCAAATGGACACACTTAAAAGATTAGAGACCAAATAAACATTATACAGACTAAAAGTGTCAACAATGTTAGTAGATTGACTATTTTAACCTTCTTTTTTATGCGAGATNGTGACTAGAGGTGTTAATGATTTTTTTAGAGACGTTTGAGATTAAACCACATAAATATAAATTAAAAGTTTTAGAGACCAAATGGACACACTTAAAAGATTAGAGACCAAATAAACATTATACGGACTAAAAGTGTCAATAATGTTAGTAGATTGACTATTTTAACCTTCTTTTTTATGCGAGATTTTGGACTTTATAGTTGGGAGGCGGCTTCTGTATTTATTTTGATTTTGTTGTTTTATATATGTAAATTACCGACTTGTTGCCGGCAATTTGTTTTGTTTTTTTGTTATATATTTCTTGATATTCTTTATTTTGTTTATATAGCAGCATGAAGATTATCAAAACAACAAGTACTTAGCACTAATAATAATTATTATTTTTTTGCATGCTATGTGTGTGTGTGTGTGTGTGTATATATATATATATATTCCAAACTTTCTCAGTCTTATTATTTTGGTCACCAAAAAAAAAATCTTATTAATTGTTTTTTCTTTTTTGGAATTTGGAATCCATCAGAAGTGTTTTTCTTTTTAATCCCTATATCATTTGATAATTTGGAAGGAAGACACAAATTCATAAATAATATAATAACTAGAGCAATGATACATATATTTAAAAAATTGACTTGATTAATCCCGGACTTGAAAAATCGAATTGATCAATCATGTCAATTTTTTAAGTATAAATAGCATTTCTCTAATAACTTGCCCTAAACTATTTAATTGGTGTTGTACAATACAATACAAATATTTTTCTTTATTTGATTTATCTTATCCTATATATTGTAAATTTGATTAGAAGAAAACAAGTTTTGGTCACATAACTTTTTTTTTCACGTATTAAACCATCATAGTTCAAATTTCTAAAAAATTGACATAATATGTTGATCTAATGATATAATTTCATTGTAAATATTAGATTAATACCAAATTTTAATATTTGATAAAGGTCACGATCAATTCAATGATTATAATAAATTAAAAAAATAAATTAAGTTAATAAATTAGTTGACAATAACATTATTCGATTCAAAATGGTAATACACACATAATACGACGCGAAGAATATCTTCTTCTTTTTTTCTTTTTTTTTTTNATGGTAATACACACATAATACGACGCGAAGAATATCTTCTTCTTTTTTTCTTTTTTTTTTTTTCTACATGGTCAAGGATTTTTGGACTAACTTATACATACCTTGAGTAATTTCCTCCCTGATCTAGTCAAAGGAGGCCATCTACACCTTCATAAGAGATAAATCATCCGTGGCCACCACCGAGTGGAGTGGTTCAGTGAAGTACCAGTCGAACTTCTTGCCCTGAGATTGGAGGTTCGAGTTTTAGAGTCTAGATTATAGTTTAGTAGTTGACTGTTATGTTAGCCTATCTAATTTTGTTTATGAAAAAAATAACGAGCATTATCAGGAACCTCATGATCTCACTAATAAGGGTATATCAGGATGGTTTTTAAGCGCACTCTTTTACCTTGACCCCTTTTTTAAACTAGCAAAAAAGAAAAATAAATCCTTTATAATTTGACTTAAAAAAATTATTAAAATTTAAATTCAAAAGGTTTACATTTACAACTCTCTCCTTTATTACTTGGAGTTGAAGAATATCTTTTGTTACTAGAGTAAACAACCCAAAAAGATGCCACAAAAGTATAACTTAAAAGTAAGTCAACTAGATGGTGATGTTAAAAGCTCCAATTGCCAAGTCAATGGAACTTTAGATCGAAGTTAGGCATTGATCCAACGTCCCAACTAACGGTTTGAATTTAAGTGCANTATCACTATCATTCCACCACCACCATTACCATTGTTGTCCACCACCACCTATCGTCGCCATCCACCCCCACCACACCTGCCAACACAATCACCATTCGCTACCACCCACCACCACCACCACCATCATCACCCACGAGTACCACTGTTGTTACCCACGACTGTCAATACTATAATCATTATCCAAAATTCATCACTACCATCACCGTTGCCACCCACAACCGCCACCACTATCACAGTCATAGCCGCTCACCACATCCATCACCATCTTCCACCACCACTTTCATCACTCACCCCCACTACAACCGATATTTAAATTCATTTATCTCTCATCTATATTTTTGTAATTTTAGTTTGNAGCCATCACCATCTTCCACCACCACTTTCATCACTCACCCCCACTACAACCGATATTTAAATTCATTTATCTCTCATCTATATTTTTGTAATTTTAGTTTGAGTTTGAGTATGAATATAAATATATTTATAATTGACAATTTTATTATTATTATTATGTTTCATCAAACACGAACAATAACTAATATACATATAGATTACTCTACATATATTGTCATGAAACTTTTTTTTTCTCAATACCACACAACTAACTATCTATGGNACATATAGATTACTCTATATATATTGTCATGAAACTTTTTTTTTCTCAATACCACACAACTAACTATCTATGGGAGAGCCCACCGTAGCTATGTCAAAGTTGAAGCTACGATTTCACTAAGATGTCGTAGTTATGAAGATTCAAACTATAATATTGAACAAGAAATTCTTATTTATTGAACCAACTGCACAAAGGTAAAAAAAAAAAAAAAAAGGTTGTAGTATACTCTTTCACATGCAAGTTCAAGTGATGAAGAGCCTTTGTATTTGGTTTTTGTGCATGTCTTTGCTATTTATATTATGGTTAGCTATAAATATCCCAAATTTATATAAGATACGTCCCCTAAACTCTTTTACAAAATTAACATATTTTCTTAAACGAAGAAAAAACCTATCTTACCTGTAGAGGTTCAAATCCATCATAGCCCAACTCATCAAAACCCAGTCCCAGCAACTGTTTGGTTAAACAGTCCAAATCCAACAACGCACCATACCACCATCCACATACTNCAAAACCCAGTCCCAGCAACTGTTTGGTTAAACAGTCCAAATCCAACAACGCACCATACCACCATCCACATACTAATATATTTGGTTGGACAAAAGGGCAAAGCCTCTCCCTAATTGTCTACATTAAAAATTTCACTAATGCTATTAGGACATAATTTAGAGATATAATTTAAAATTTTAA